CAAATAATGTGATTACATTCTTAGAGAAGTGGAAAATTTTTTTTAAAAAGTGTATATATATATATATATATATATATAATGTATCTGTGTGTGTGGTACTGAGAATGAATCTGGGGCTGTAAGCCTGCTAGGCAAGTGCTTTACCACTGAGCCACATACCCAACCTTTTTTATTTTTTATTTGAAACAAGGTCTCACTAAGTTGTTCAGGCTAGTCTAGAACTTGGGATCCTCCTGAGTAGCTGGTATTACACGTTTGTCACTGCACCTTGCAAATTGTTCTCAAAGTTAGTAGAATTTGATAAGGAGGTGGGATTCAAGATAGCATACAAAAAGTAGTTGGTTTTCTTTATTCTAGTAATAATAAGTTAGAAACAAATGTGGTTAAAAATCTCACAGTAACTACACCGTGTTTGAAGTATCTAGGAATATAGATTTAAAGAAAGGCATAGCACCTTTAAGAAGAACTACAAATACTCCAAGGATACAAATGGAGGAACATAAAGAACATATTGTGTTGTAAATGGGGAGTTAATATTTAATGGTAAAACAAACAAAAACCCAGTTATCCCCAACTGATGAGGATAGTACAATTCCTATCATAATCTAGGATAGGGATAAGTGGATTGATTGCAAATTTTTACATTTTTACATTTTCTTTTTCCTTTATTTTATTGGTGGGGGTGTGTGTGCCGGGGATTGAACTCAGGGGCACTCAACCACTGAGCCACATCCCTATTTTGTATGTTATTTAGAGATAGGGTCTCACTGAGTTGTTTAGCACCTCACTTTTACTGGGGTTGACTTTGAACTTGTGATCCTCCCGTCAAAGCCTCCCAAGCCACTAAGATTTACTGATGTATGCTACCATACCCAGCTATTTTTATTTTTAATTGACACATAGTAGTACATATTTAGGATATACAGTATACTATTTTAATACTTATGTACAATACGTAACCAAATCAGTGCGACCATTAAATCTGTCACCTCTTACATTTATCATTTTTTTGTTATTGGAAACAGTCTTCCCTACACTATTTTGAAATATACAACTAATTGTTGTCAATAATATTCCACTGTGCTGTACTACATTAGAAGTTATTTCTCTATGCAGATGCACCCATGAACTCATTAACTATCCTCTTTCCATTTCTCCTTGTACCCCTTTTCTAGCCTTTGGTAACCTCTATTCTACTTTCTACTCCTATGAGATTAGCTTTATAAGCTTCCACATGTAAGTAAGGACATACTATGTTGTCTTTCTGTGCCTGACAAAGTTTTCCAAGTCTAACTGTAGCCAAAAAGATTATACAAAGGGCAGTTATGAGTTTACAGATATTAAAGGTTATTACAGCCAGGTATAGTAGTGCACATCTGTAACCCCAGCTGCTCGGTTGGCTGAGGTTGGAGGATCACAAATTCAAGGCTAGCCTGGTGACTTAGTAAGAACCTGCCTCAAAATTTTAAAAGGAGGGTTTTTTTTGTTTTGTTTCTGTTTTTTTTTAAAGTTTGGGGTGTAGCTCAGTGGTAGAGCACTTGCATAGCATGTACAAGGAGGCCCTGGATTCTATCCCCAGCACCACACACACAAAGAAATAGTTTAAAAAATTAATTTAAAAAATAATATACTGTACATGTTATTATTTATATGTATTATATATAATACACACACACACATATATATATTTATTTTTATTTTTTTTAAAATTTATTTATTTTTTTACAAAGTCAGCAGCAAAAAGTGGTGATGGCACAAGAATAAAATAGTGCAATCAACAGACCTAGGGAAAAGTCCCAATATGTTTTTTTTAGAACTTAGTATTTGTATAGGTGTCGTCTCTGAAACTTCAGGGCCAAGTGTTTCTGAGTTAATTTTGGGGTTTCAGAAAGACAATATGGTGTGATCAGTAGCTTCCAGCAGGATCTAAGGAAGAGTCTGGTAGTTGAATCATCCATCAGTAGTTATTCAAGTGACATACAGATGGGATAAAGAAAGATGAAATAAACCAGGCGCAGTGGTGCATGCCTGTAATCCCAGTGACTTGGGAGGTTGAGACAGGAGGCTCCCAAGTTCAAAGCCAGCCTTAGCAACTTAGGTAGGCCTTAAGCAACTTAGTGAGACCCTATCTCTAAATAAAATATAAAAAAGGGCTAGGCATGTGGCTCAGTTGTGGGGCACCCCTAGGTTCAGTTTTATTGGTGGGGGTGTCAATCCCCTGTACCAAAAAAAAAGATGGTGTAAAAATGGAATGTCAGGCTGGAGACATAGTTCAGTTGGTGGAGTGCTTGCCTTGCATGCACAAGGCCCTAGGTTCAATCCCTAGCACCATACCAAAAAAAAAAAAAAAAAAAAGTAATGTCATCCCATGTCTTGTCACCAAATGAATTCCAGGGGAAATATTTGTTTTGTAGAGCCTTTTGGACTTCAGATTTATATAAACCAAACAAAAAAACCTCTTTCAATTCAGCAGGGAAGTAATGATTTATAAATTTCTGGAAAGTTGGACCCCTGCCTCATAACTATATATTAGATTCCAGAAAACGTAGATCATTTGTTTACTTTGAGTGTGTTAAAGGAAGCCTTCATGAGCAAGCCAAAAAATCCATACACCAAAACAAGTTCATCTCATAGAGGTGCTGGGCACCAGCGTGCATATCAGCACTCAGGCTTGCTAGTGGGCAAGGAAGTCTCATAGGAATCAGCACATAATATTTTCTCTTTCATCCGGCAGCAAAAATATCTCACAATGACAACATGCAGTGCTGACAGAAGGTGGGAGGACCAGTCATGATTTTTTAAGACAGGGTCTAACCATCTTGCCTGGTCTGGTCTCAAACTCCTGGCTTGAAGTGATCCTCCCACCTCAGCCTTCCCAGTAGCTAGGACTATAGGCATGCACCTCACCAGGTTCACTGTTCGTTGTTTAAAATACAAGTGGAGGAAATGTGGCTTGCATCATTTTTTTTTTTTTTTTTTTTTTTTTTTTAAGAGTAATTGGTGGGGCTGGAGTTGTGGCTCAGTGGTAGAGTGCTCGCCTAGCACATGCGAGATCCTGGGTTCCATCCCCAGCACCACATAAAAAATAAATAAATAAATAAAATCAAGGTCTTGTGTCCAACTACAACTAAAAAATAAATATTAAATTAAAAATAATTAAAAAAAAGTAATTGGGCACTATCATTTTGGGGAACCTATTTGGTTAGAATTAAAAGCACCAGCCTGAGAGTACTTAATTTTATTCTGGTGGTGTTTGGTTATTATGATGAAAATCTGGAAACATTAAATGTGCCTCAGTTGGGAGAATTTATAGTGTGTCCATCTGTATGCCTAGAGAGGGAAAGATAATGTGTTAGCAAGAAACAGTTGCTAAGGAATACTGATTGTATCTTTAACTTGTTACTGAGCATGTCTGAGGCTAATATTTCCCCCAAATGGTAGGATGAAAAATGTGTAAAGAAAAAAGTGAATGTAAGAAAGGGAGTAGAAACAGCAAGTTTATGTGGCTTCCAGGAACATGTAAGCAAAGTTGGCTGAACTCAGCTGTATTCCTAGAGGGTGGAGTCTGTTCCCCACATGATAAAAATAGCATTATCCTCTTTCTGCTTATGGCTATATGATGATGAAAGTGAGATTTACCTGGTCTCCCACCACTGATGAAATGACCCAACTTCTAGGTGTAAATCCTTCCAGACAAAACTCAGTCTTGATAACTGTCAATCACACACCTTTCTATATATACATTTAGTTGTAGATTTTACTTATATATATACATATATTTATATGTATGTTTTTTAGTTGTAGATGGACACAATCTCTTTATTTAATATTTATTTTTAGTTGTAGTTGGACACAATACCTCTATTTTATTTATTTTTATGTGGTGCTGAGGATTGAACCCAGGGCTTCTCACGTGCTAGGTGAGCGTACTCTACTGCTGAGCTACAACCCCAGCCCTATTTATTTTTTTTATGTGATGCTGAGGATGGAACTCAGGGCTTCACGATGGGAGGCAAGTGCTCTACCACTGAGCCACAACCCCATCCCCTCACACACCTTTCTTACTGTGCCACAGAGAGGTGAGCCATCTGTAGGGGGCTGTATGGTGTTCTTTTAAATCTGATTCATTCCCTTACATCTCCATTTAAGAACCATTAGGCATTTTCTAATTTTTCACCCCTACAACCAGGTGCATGCATGTTTTGAGGTATTAAACTCAGGATTAAGGATTACTGAGAGCTTTACTTTTAATACATTCTATCCAACTGCTTTCCAAAAAATATGTAAACAATTGCTCTTCCCACCAGCAGTCTATTTTCAGCCTTACCATTACTGCATGTGTTTTGTCATGCTGGGAATCCTAAAGGAATATGTATCATTTAATAAAATATACTGTTAGATTGTATTCCTGTTTTTGTATTCTCTTTATCGATCATATGGGTTGTGCATTTGGCATTTAATAGGTTTTTTAGTTTGTTCACTTTTTGTTTTGTTGTTGAACTTGGGATTGAACCCAGGGATGCTTAACCACAAAGCCACATCTCCACCCCTTTTTATTTTTTGAGACAGGGTCTCGCTAAGTTGCTTAGGGCCTCGCTAAATAGCTAAAGCTGGCTCTGAACTCCTGCCTCAGCCTCCTGAGCTGCTGAGATTACAGGTGTGCACCAGCACTCCAAGCCCTAGAGTTTTTATATGAGGAAATTAGAATTTAGCAGTAGGCATATAAAAATATATAGAGACCTATAAATCTCTCTCTTTAATCAATCACACAGTAAATATGATGTGGAAGGATGGAGCATTTAAACAAAAGATAAGATCATATGAGGTAGTGGTTCCGGGCTTGTGAAGTGGCTGGACGATTATACTTGAGGTACACTTAAAGACCCCCAGTCTGGTTAGGGTCTTTGGCGGGGCTGAGCCCTGGGTGTGGAAGCACGGGTCGGGTCGGGTGGGCTTGCCGGGTTCCTGGAGCCACTCAGCCCTGTCTGCCCTGCCCTCAGCTCATGATGGAGCAGTCTAAGAAGTCCTCGCTCATGGTGGCCCGCAGTATCCTCAACAACAAGCTCATCAGCAAGAAGCTGGAGCGCTACCTTAAGGTGAAGGCGCACCCCTCTTTCCCCACCAGTCAGCCCTGACTCCTGGTACCCGTCCCCAACCCCAACCCTGCTTCTGCGGGCCCATCGTCCCTTCAGTGTCTTCGCTTCCCCTTGCAGGGAGAGAACCCTTTCACTGATAGCCCCGAGGAAGAGAAGGAGCAGGAGGAGGTGGAGGGCAGCGCCCTTGACGAGGGGGCATCGGGCGAAGCTGCGGGAGTCATGGAAGGAGAAGAGATTGCTCTGGTCCAGCCCCCTGTGCCCCCTGAGCCGGCCCCCGGGACAACGTCGCCACCGCCACCACCGCCGCCGCCACCGGAAGAGGAGGAGGAGGGCGTCGTACCCCTGCTGGGCGGGGCGCTGCAGCGCCAGATCCGCGGCATCCCGGGCCTCGACGTGGAGGATGACGAGGAGGGCGGTGATGGTGCCCCTTGACCCGGATTCCAGGCGGGCGGAGCCCGTGTGGCCCGCGTGGCCGAGGCTGGAAGTAGAGCCTAATAAAAGTTCTTCCTATCCACCTAGTTTGTGTGTCAGTGGGCGTTGCCGGCGGGTGTGGGGAGTGAGCGAAGGGATACGCTTGCGCGCGGGCGGGAGAGTGAGAGCGGAGCGCGCCTGTGGATGGAGTGGCGGAGGGAGCGGTGCGCGCCTGCGCAGGGGATTAACCCTGAGGCACTGCAGCTCGACCACAACTCCCGAGATGCTATGGGCGTCCATCCTGAGCAACCCGGAAGGCAAGGTAGAACGACGGGGGCGAGCCCTGCGAATGGGCCAGCCAATGGTAGCGTGCGTAAAGAGTGACGTATGCACCTGGTCTTCCAGTAGCCGACGGCGAGAGGTGCGTTGAACGCATGCGTCTTGTGGAAGGGTAGAAAAAGGGTCTGCTGGCGAGTCGCGTCGAAGATATGGAGCAGGGCTACGGAGGTTAGTATAAACTGCTTGGCGCGTGGCGAGAAGGCACTGTCCGGCTAATGAAGCCCCCGTCCTGCGGGTTCGCATTATCGGGCTTTTAGTGGGAGCTCGGTTGCCGCAGGCCCGGCCCTGCGGAGAGGCTGCCGGGACGCGCGCGCGCCGTTCATTGGTCCTCGGCGCAGTCCCTCCTGGGCCGCTGCGTGCGGATTGGTCGTCAGGGCCCTAGGGGGATGTCGGGGCTCGACGGGCCGACGCTGCGGCTGGCTTCTGGGGGCGCCTCGGGTCGTCCGGGCGGCTTTTACCCCAAGATGCGGCGAAGCCCGGGCAGGCATTAGCGACCTCGAAGTTCGAAGTCCCGCCTTTCTCTTCCGAAGACGCCACAAAATGGCGGCGCCAGGGGGCGGAGCTTCAGCGTCCGGTCGTGGGGTCGAGGCCCAGGCCTAGGGTCTGCGGCCAAGGGTCGAGTTCTGCGGGTTGGGGGACGGTCTCCTATCTCTAAGCTGCCGCACCAGGGTCGTTCCGTGGAGGCTCGACGGGACCTCCTTGGGAGTACTAGGCTTGGGCACCCGTCCCGGAAGCCATCCGGGCTGTGCGGGGTCAGACCTGTCGCCGCCAGCCCCGCGGTGCTGCGCGGCGGGGCCGAGTGCGGGCCCATCTGGTGTTTGTTGGCCATGGGAGCTATAAACAGCGTAATTCGATATCTTGAGTATCTTGATCAAGATATTGAGTATCTTGTGTGCAAAGGTGGAAACCTGATGTGCTTTGGGCTATGCGACAGATTGGCCATTCTCCTTCAGGCATCCTCTTATGGGGCTAGAGGGCCCGAGGGGTTGTGTAGGAGAGAACAACCCTCCATCTCCATTGGCCTGAAGTATCTGCCTACCTCAGAGCCGATCTTCTGGAGTTCCTTGTTTGCTGTCTCTGGAATGAGCCTCCTGGGAGGCCTTCTGCTCTGTGCTGAGAGCCAAGTTTGCCTATAGGGAACAATTGGAACTTGCCTGGTGGGGCCCGACCTAGAGCAGAAAACTTAGTGGTCTGATGAAAGGATGAGGGTCTTCAGAGGGGCAAAGTAGGAGTATCCCAGCAGCAGGAATTGCTGAAAGAAAGGTCCTGAGGGCGGTGCACGTGTCGCTGAGTTTCTGCAGGATCTTAGGAGAGGCTCAGCCTGGCTGTCCTGGCATTTCGATGTCTGGCTAGATCTTCCAGTATTTGCCTTCCTACCCGCCAGATTTTTTTTTTTTTTTTTCTTGGTACCAGGGATTGAACTCAGGGGCACTCAACCACTGAGCCACATCCCCAGCCCTATTTTGTATTTTATTTAGAGACAGGGTGTCACTGAGTTGCTTAGCGCCTAGCAATTGCTGAGGCTGGGTTAGAACTCTTGATGCTCCTGCCTTCACCTCGAGCAGCAGGCTCCACACCCAGCTCCGCCAGATATTTTTGTAATCCTGTTTTAAGGCCCTTTAGTTTAGAGAGCCTCCCACCCCCACTTCCTGCCTGCCTTAAACCTTTAAGAACCAATTAAGAGGGCTGGGGATATAGCTCAGTTGGCAGAGCGCTTGCCTAGCACATGTGAGGCACTGGATTGGATCCTCATCACCACATAAAAATAAAATAAAGGTATTGTGCTCATCTATTAAAAAAAAAAAAGAACCAATTAAGATCCTGCAACATCCCTGATTTCTTCTGTCTCAGGAAGTGTTTTAAGATTGGGTTAATACACCAGTACCTCACAGGGAAGCAGCGAGTGCCCCAAGGTTAGTGTTTATTGCAGAACAGATGGGGATGGCTGCTTAGTTTAGCAGGATGGGGTAGTGAGGGGAAGGTATAGCTTGCAGAAGTGAACAGAGAGCAAACCTAAAGCATAGTAGAACAAAGGATCAGGTCCTCTAACCTCTGCTGTAAGACTCTGAATGGCATTCAGGGGCAGTGCTTGTCATGTGTAGGTACATGGTAGGCATTTGTTCTAGTAAGGGAAGCTACATTCTTGCTTCATCAAAGTGAAGTCATTTGACTGGCATGGGCAGTCAACCTCCTGTGCCCTGCTCCAGGAATACAGATGAAGAGAAGCTATTTCCACACTCTTGCCTTCAGGGACAGTGGGGCCCAGTTTGATGCCTTAGGGCCAGGCTAAGGTTCTGGGACTTTAAGGCCTGGGGAGCATTAGAAGGTTTAAAATCAGAAGGGAATCCCAAGGGGCACAGTTTATATCTCCAGGTTCCCAAGTTTCTCTCATGGGGTACTCTAGATGGGCTGAGCTGGTTTCCCAGCTGCATGGTGGGTAGGTCAACCAGCATGGGGGACTGTGTCCCAATGCACAGCTTGTCCTGTGATATCTTCAGTTGTGATGAGGGTTGAGGGTGACTGCCCAAGCTGTCTTCTAGTCCTGTTTCCCTCCCTTCTTTTTTTGGTTTTGGCCTTAACCTGACCCCAGTGTGATGAAGCATCAGCCTTTTGGGTGGAAAGATGACATAGAGGGATGGTGCTGCTATGGCTATGCTGCCTTCTTCTAAGGCTGGCACTGAACTCCTGGGAGGATGTCACTTTAGACTCCTCAGAGAACCTTAAAGCCCACATTCCCTAGTATGATAAATAAGATCTTAATACACAGGATCTTCTTTTCACAGGCTATGGGGCATGGAGTGCTGGACCTGCAAACACCCAGGGTAAGCTGATCCTGCATAATGTGTTACAATATGAACTTCCTTCACCTGAGGCCCCAGTGTGGCAGAGCTGAATATGATGCTTGCCCAGATCAAGAGGGGTGGTGACCCTGGGGCCAGCAAGCATTTTCTCTAAAGGTTCAAATAATAAATATCTTTGGTTTTGCATGTGATCTCTGTAGTGCAAAAACAGCCACAGGTAGGTCAGTGTGTACTTATAGATATTGAGATTTGAATATCAGAATTCTTGTGTTGTGAAATATTCTTAATTTTAGCAAAAAATTTCTTTCCTTTTTTTGGTACTGGGGATTGAACACTGGGCTGCATCCCTAGCCCTTTATTTTTTGAGACAGAGTCCTGTCTCAGGCTCTGGAGTTGCTGGTATTACAGGCATGTTCCATTGCACCTGGCTAAAATATATTTATTTGTTGTAGGTAAATAGACAGCTGAGAGTATCATCAGAGGTTTTTTTTTTCCTGTATATGATTGATATACTTTATTTTTCATTATAGCTTTAAAATTGTAGAATTAAGTGGATAATACATAGAGTTCTTTATATCTGTCTCTACCAAGGCATGGTTTTTTCTACTAAGATCTGAAAGGAAACATGCATGAGAGTATAGAACTGTGATTCCAGCTGCTTGGGAGGCTGGGCAGGAAAATCCTAAGTTCAAGGCCAGCCTGGGCAATTTATGAACCCAGTCTCAAATAGGGCTGAGAATATAGTGGTAGAGTAGTTGCTTAACGTGCACTAGGTTCTAGATTTGATTCCCAGTACCACAAAAAAAAAAAAAAAAGGTAGGGGCTATTTTATAAGTAATTCATTTCGTGTCAGTTTTTATGTAATGAAATGTTCTTTTGAGTTGTTTTTCTCTGACCATTTAGAAAAGTAAAACCGTTTCTTAGCTTGAGGGCTGTATAAAAACAGGCAGTAGGTTGGGTGTACACTAGCATTCACCTGTAATCCGAACTACTTGGGGTGCTTAGGCAGGAGAATCTTAAGTTCAGGGCCAGTCTTACCTTGGCAAGCTAGCAAGACCCTGTCTCAATTAAAAGAGGTCTGAGCCAGGGGAGATCTGTAATCTCAGCGGCTTGGGAGGCTAAGGCACGAGGATCCCAAGTTCAAAGTCTCCCTCCGCAACAGTGAGGCACTGAGCAACTCAGACCCCGTCTTTGAATAAAATACAAAATAGGGTTGGGGATGTGGCTTAGTGGTCAAGTGCCCCTGAGTTCAATTTCTGGTACCAAAAATAAAACAAAAAGTCAAGGATGAAGCTTAGTAGTGGATTGAGTGCTTGCTTAGTATGCTTGCAGTCCTGGATTCTGATCTCTAGTAATATTTTTTTTTTAAAAAAAAGGCAATGTGCAGGCAGGCTGCATGTGGCCCAAGGCCTTTTGCTGACCCTTTCTCTAGAGTCTAGATCATTATTTTTATCTTATTTTGAAGGACCAAAATATGCTGTCATGTGGTGAGGGTCTTTTGTTTTCTTCCAGCCCCTATTCCAGGAAGTCAGGGCTTTCTTTGTTTTCTGGGCTTGGACCCTGTCCCTACCGCCAGTGGAAGTGGGTTTCTTTTCTGTGGATTACCCTGTGTCCCAGGAAAAGGCCTCCCAGGTCCCTTGTGACACAAATGACCCCTTACTCATTTGTGTTAAGGACATGATTTTCCACTGATACCCTATTTGTGTGGTTGGCAGTCCCTGGGCTTTAGCAGTGGTAAAATTTGACACCCTTCACATACTGGTGTTTGAACCCTGGGGCATTCTGCCACTAAGCTATAGCCCCCACCCATTTTTGTTTTAATTTTGAGACAGGATCTCATGAAGTTGCCCAGGCTGGCTTTGAACTTGTGCTCCTCCTTCCTCAGCCTCTTAAGTAGCTGAGATTATAGGTATACATGCATTATTGTGCCCAGTTTGAGACTGACCTTTTTTAAGGGCTGTCTTTGG